CCCTCAGCCTAGATAGGGGTTTGTCAATTTTATCAATTTTTTTCAGTGAACCAGCTTTTAAGTTTGTTAATTTTCTCTATTATCTGTCAGTTTTCTCTTCTATTGATTTCTGATCTTAATAATTACTTTCTTCCTTCTGTGTGCTTTGGAGTTACTTTGCCCTTCTTTTTCTAGTTCTTTAAGATGGAATTTTAAGTCATTGATTTATACAAACATTTAAGTGTAAGTTTTCCTCTATATTTTTCCTCTAGCTGCATCCCATAAATTTTAATATGTTAAATTTTCATTATCGCTTAGTTAAAAATATTTTCTAATTTCCCTGTGATTCTTCATTGACCCTTGGATTATTTAGAATTGTGTTGTCTAGCATCCAAATATTTTTCCTAAATATTATATCTTATTGATTTCTAATTTAATGCTGTTGTGATCAGAGAACATATTCTTTATTATTTCAGTCTTTTAAGATTTATTGAGACTTGTTTTATGTTTAAGCATATGGACTATCTTAAACATATAAAGAATATGTACTCTGTGCTTTTGAGCGTAGTGTTCTATAAATAATTAGTTCAATGTTGTTGATAGTGATGTTTGACTCTTCTGTGTCTTTACCGATATTTTTGTCTAGTTCTATCACTTGCTAAAAGAGGAGTATTAAAATATCTTACTATTATTGTGGAAGTTTCTATTTCTCCTTTTAATTCTGTTAATTTTTTCTTTATCTTTTTTAAGGCTCTGTTATTAAGCCCATGGACATTTAAAACTGCTATATCTGCCTTATGAATTGTACCTTTTATCATTATGAAATGTCCCTCTCTATATATGGTAGTATCTTTTATCTTGTATTATAGGTCTGCTAGCAACTAATTCTCTTGTTTTTCTCTATCTGAAAATATCGTTGTGTTGCCTTCATTCTTAAAAGATATTTTCACAATTCTGGACAGGTTATTTTTTTTCATCACTTTGAAGATATTTTTCCACCATCTTCTGACATCCATCCATTTTGATTTAAAAATCTATAGTCATTCAAAACATTGTTCCCCTATATGTAATGTGTCATTTTCCATTGGATGCTTTCAAGATTTTCTCTTTACCCTTGGTTTTTATCAGTTTGATGCTGTGGCTGCTTATTATGTCTCCAGGCATGGTTTTTCTTGAATGTATCTTGTTCAGGGTTCACTGAGCTTCTTGAGTCTATACATTTATGACTTTCACTAAATTTTAACAAGTTCTTGGCCATTATTTCTTACCTCATTCTCCTCTCCTCCTCTTCCAGGTTTCCAATTACATACCTGCTACAGTTTTTGATATTGTTCCCTGGGGCTTTAAGACTCTGTTCATTGGTTTCAATCTCTTTCTCATTGTTCTTCAAATTGGACAATTTCTACTGCTATAACTTCAAGTTCACTGACTCTTTTTCCTATCATCTCTATTTTTCTATTAATATTAGAGCATAAAGTAACTACAGCTCACCTCCTTTAAATGTCCTCTAAAATAAGGGAAATTACCCCCATGCTGGTTATTGCTCAAAGTTTTTATTGCAATGTACAATCTACCTGCTTTAAACCCTAATCAGAATCCTCAAGTAGCTGTTCCTGTATTTTGAGCAGAGTTGATAGTTATTATCAGTGGGAGGATTAGTCTCAGGGGGTTATACCACCATACCAGAAGCAGAACTCTCTTGAAATTGGTGTTTTGACCGCACATCAAGTCCTCACCACATCCTGCCTGTTAATAGTGCCTTCCAGAAGGTGGTCCAGCCTCCAACCAGATTAGACGCCAGTTGCACCGGCTATCAAGGCATTTTGTTGGTGTTCATCTCTCCAATTAGATTATAAGCTCCATGTTTATTTTTTTTCACCAAGATATTCTTGGGACCTTGCACAGTGCCTAGTACAAGAGGTATTTGTCTGAATGCATAAATGAATGAGATTTGTCAGATGTCTGACTCCCAACTTTCTCCCCAGCTAACCAGGGAGTTTTGCTCTCCTTAATCAGAATTACCAATATAAATGGTATTGAAATATTTACTCAGAACATCAATGTGGCCAGGCATTTCCACTTCATATTTTTACCCAATATATAATACTCGGTTGGCATTACAACAGCACATGGGTTGTATTTGAGAGGTCTGTAACTTAGAATAGGTGTTCCTATTAACAATGTTAGATTTGCTTATTCAGTTTTCAGTCTTGTCCACAGACATCTGTGAAATCCCTAGTGTAGCCAAAATTGTAAATGCCTACACCAAAACACTATAAACAAATATTACTGCAATACTAGTAATCTTTAAAACCTAGGGAAATAAGAACTAGTGTATTTAATGTAATACTTAACAAAAACTAGGCTTAATTAGAAAAAGAAGGCTGGGCACAGTGGCTCACACTTGTATTCCCACCACTTTGGGAGGCTGAGGTGGGAGGATTGCTTGAGATCAGGAATTCAAAACCAGCCTGAACAATATAGCAAGACCTCATCTCTACAAAAAAATAAGAGAAATTAGCCAGGCATAGTGCTGCACACCTGCAGTCCTAGGTACTTGGAGGCTGAGGCAGGAGGATCACCTGAGCCCAGGAGTTTGAGGCTGCAGTGAGCTATGATGGTGTTACTACACTCCAACCTGGGCAACAGAGTGAGACCCTGTCTCAAAAAGTAAAAATAAATAAGAAAAGGAAAACTGGGTAGGTAGAAGAACTTTTGTAGGGATGCTGAAGGAAACTTCTAAACATTTTCAAGGGCTCAAGAGGTTGATGACACCAATTTTATGTATTATTTATATTAAAATCACATGGCTTTATATTTTCATATGGGTGGGAAATCTTTTTTATATAGATGGGAAAGGAGAGAGGGAGAGAAAAAAGGAGCATAGGGAGTCAGAAATGTTCAGAATCAGAAAGAGACTCAGAGAAATGTATTTTCCTGTGATCGCTGGGTAAGGGTGATAAGACAGAAAAAATTTTCAAGAGACTTGAAAAAAGGAAGCTGCCTGGTTGGGAATAACTAGACGGGATTAGACAAGTGAGTGCATAGACACAGGGGAAGGGCAAAGAGCATGTTGGCTCCCTGAGGGAGAACGAAGGACAGCACAGAGATGATGGATCTGAGTCCCTCTGTCCAATAGAACCTTCTGTGATGAGGAAAATGGGCTATATCTGCACTGTCCAACATGGCAGCCACTAGCCACCTGTAGCTATTGAGTACTTGAAATGGAGAAGGAACCAACTTTTTAATTTTATTCAATTTAGATTTAAGTTTATATAGGCATGCATAACTAGTGTGTACCGTAGGATTGGACGGCTCCCTGCACCATTCATGGGTGTGGGGCAGGGATACCGAAGGGAGCAGGTTACTGCTGGGCCAGAACAGCTGGTACTTGTACAGAACAGAACGAGTTAGGCATGTGAAGGAAGTGGGAAGGTGGCCGTCAGTATGATTAGCACCCATGTCTTGTGTTCATTTTTTAGCATGCTTTTAATAAGATGGCAAACTATATTTAGGTAAAGATAAAAATAATCGAACTTATTTCAATTACTTCAATAACCACTAACGACTTAAAAATAACTAACTTGGACCGCTTTAATGACTTTCAACATCAGTATGGAAGAAGATACCCAGATGAGCAGGAGAAAGCATTAAATTTGGGCAGAGAATGGAGGGGGCATATAGATAATTTCTAAGGAGCATGCAGAGGGGTTTGTGGCCCCTCTATGGCATGGTGCCTGGCATATGATAGCTATACCATAAATATTCCTTGAATGACTGTCTGCCATGGCAGGGCAGGAAGCAACAAGGCAAGAGCCCAGCCCTGGTAAATACAGAGGCTGAGGGGGCTCTCATCCTCTCTGGGGCACCCTGCAGGGACAAGCTTACTGGGTTTCAAAAGCCAGGGAGAGAGGTTCTAAAGACTCAAGACTGGATGAGGTAACCCCAAGAAGGAACCTAGACAGACCTAAGTTCAGACACAGGAAGAGGAGGATGGAAGGAAGGAGGATGGAAGGAGGCTGAGCTAAAGCTATTCAAAATGTAGAAGGCTGGGTGCGGTGGCTCACACCGGTAATCCTAACGCTTTGGGAGGCTGAAGCAGGAGGAGGATTGCTTGAGGCCAGGAGTTTGAGACTAGCCTGAGGCACATGGTGAGGCCCTTTCTTTATAAAAAAAATCTTAAAAATTAGCTGGGGGCCGGGCGCGGTGGCTCACGCCTGTAATCCTAGCACTCTGGGAGGCTGAGGCGGGTAGATGGCTCAAGGTCAGGAGTTCAAGACCAGCCTGAGCAAGAGCGAGACCCCGTCTCTACTAAAAAATAAAAAGAAATGATCTGGACAACTAAAAATATATAGAGAGAGAAAAAATTAGCCAGGAATGGTGGCACATGCCCGTAGTCCCAGCTACTTGGGAGGCTGACGCAGAAGGATCGCTTGAGCCCAGGAGTTTGAGGTTGCTGTGAGCTAGGCTGACGCCACGGCACTCACTCTAGCCCAGGCAACAAAGCGAGACTCTGTCTCAAAAAAAGAAAAAACAAAACAAAAATTAGCTGGGCATGGTGGTACATGCCTGTAGTCCTGGCTACTTGGGATGCTGAAGCAGGAGGATTGCTTGAGCCCAAGAGTTTGAGGCTACAGTGAGCTATGACAATGCCACTGCACTCTAACCCCAGCAACAGAGCAAGACCCTGTCTCAAAATAAATAAATTAATTAATAAATAATAAAAATAAAATGTAGGAGAATATGCGGAGGGTCAGGTCTTCATAAAAGGGGGAAAAGTCTCACTCTCGTGGTAGATATTTCATCACTTGGCATCCTTCTCTCCACTGGATGTCTAGATTGATAAAAAAAGAGTGACATTTGTTGATCTTAATTGTTCTTCATACCCAAGACAACCTGTCTCACATGTGCACACGCACACACAACATTATGACAAACTTTCAGTAGATTTTTAATAATAAAATCCCTGGAGTCTTGGGAAGAGTGATAACTGAGTAATGACATGACTGTTCACTTCGTAGATGTTCTTCAGCTTCTGTGAGAAGAATGTGGATTACGAAACCTTTAAAGCATTGAATGACGCATGTCTTGTCTATGATGGTCGACTCGTGATTGATACCAGCTTCCACACCAACGATACAGCTATCAGAGCTGCTGGCTCCCTCACCAAATTCTCCAATAGATATTACGCAAACGACTGGACTCACAGCAACTTCAATTCCAAAGAAATTGGCTTTCAGCTGGCAGCGGCTATGCTCAATCTTTTTGATCCAAGCCTTGAGCCTGTGACTGAGCCGCCCGCTGATCTTGACCGGCTCATCCCCATGTACAAGGGTGCCAAGATCCAAGGTGTGTAAAAGGCTGCCTGCTTCCCCTTGGTGAAGCCACAGGTTGGGTCTGGGTCAGCATTCAGACCATCCCTCTGTGTTTCTCTTAGGCTTGCCGAGGAAGCTCCTCAGTCCCTCAGCGTGTTGCCCACAGAGATAATAGAGGGGTCTGTCTCATTTTTTAAATGTTTATTATGAACCTGGAATTATTATTATTATGGTCCTGGTCCTTTTCATTTTGAGCATGTATTGTGGGCCACATCCTAACTGTGGTCCCCATAAAACAGTCTAAAGAATGACAGTAACTTTCCTGAAGTCTCAGAGCTGGTGAGTGGTGGTTTACCCTGACATCTTACCCAAAAATTACTTTCTTACTGTAAGTTCAGAGATAAGGAAACCCTTCCAGGCAGACAAGTCCTTAGTGTCCTATCTGGATGGATAAGTTCTACCATTTTGCAGTTGTAAATCAGCCCACTGTAACTGCTAAGCCTTGTCGACCCCTAAGGAGATGATTTCCTAAGTAGCGCAGGGTTCCATCATGTTTAAGGGCAAGAGATACCTTTGAAAATGGTGCCTTTGAACGTTGTGGACCTTCTACCAGAAAAGCACACATATTTACAAAATCATACGTTCACTTCCAGAAGGTTCGGAGATGAACCCCTAAGGCCACACATAGACCCTAAGGGTGTCCACGAACCCTAATCCAAACAACGGAACATCAGACTAAAGAAACAAAAGCCCCCACATTCTAGTCCTTGTCTTTCTCTTCCTAACTAGATGGCCTCAGCGAGATCCTCCTCTGCTTCTTGCTCTAGGCGAGACCTTAGGAAAAGTGGTGGCCATGGGCAAGCGAGAGAAGGGAGGGGCGTCAGAAACCAGAGCTGGAGCAGGCTGACTTCAGGAACAAGTGAAAAATATTAAGAATTTGATAACAATCATTTCTAAAGCCGCAAAGACCTTTGTTGATTTTCCTTATTAAGTTCGATTTTTTAATATTTTGGCTACATATTAAAGAAGTGTTGAGGAATGGGAATGACATTGCAACACTTAAGGCTTTTGAAGGTCTTGATCTGGTTTGGGCAGGAATAGGTTAGGGTGCCAGGAGCTATGGATAATCACAGGATATACACAGGATCAGCTTGGCACATCGTGGAGCATTGGTGACTATATTAAGAGATATCATGTCACATTCACATTGCTTTGATTAAATAAAGCTCAAGCACACCAGGGAGTTCCTTGCTATTACCAGAACTCTAGTGGGAAGGTTTGAGGAGCCTACATTGCTGTAGACATCTCCGTTTGTCCTGTGGTGAAAATATAAGCTCTGTTACCCGTCTCATTAACGATCAATTTCAAATGTGGAATCCTCGCCATCTCCTTTAGGAGGCATTCTTCCTGGCTCTTACCATTACCTGCATATTGCCAAGCCTGCCATCCCATGTCCCTTGGCGATACTAATGGCACAGCCTAATTTCGTAAGTATTATTTCTGAATTTCATTTTGTTTTCAAAGATAAAACTTTATTTACAGGAGGTTGAAACTCTTTACTCAGAGCCTGTTTCCCTTCCCACCCTCAATTACGCCTGAAGGGCCATCCAGGAAAAGCAGAAGGTGTGGGAGTGGGACTTCCCTGAGTTAAAGGTAATCAGAAACAACACAGGTGGTGGGTCAGTTGGAGAGCAGCTCTAATAAGATTCTCTGACACGTGGTCCCAGATTGGGGTTCGTTGTCAGTAGGGACTTCCTTTCTGAGGTGTCACATCTGATTTGTAGTCAGTGAGGCAGACACTAGAAGTTTCTTACTTAACTTCTGTTAAGTTTCTGTTTCCATTTTCTTCTCCTGAATATTTTTGAGAGTTAACAATATGACCAACTTAAAATAAACACATGTCCCTGATTTTCCTGAGGATAGGGTCAGCCATCTGGCAGGTTCTTGCCAATGAAATGTAAGTGGAAGCTTTTGGAAAATTCCTTAAAAGGTGGCAGACTCAAAATGGGACAGGCCATGAGCCTCTCACCCTTTTCCCTTCAGGAAGTCTGAATCTCATCTCTTCCACTGCTTTCCCCGGGGCCTTGAACAGGTTATGCACCTTCTCTGTATTTCTGGGATTATTAGGGAAGATATATAAATAAACACTGCCTGGAGCAAAACAGGTAGCCAGTCAATGGTGAAGGTTGTTGTTTTAATCATAATTCCAGATAAATAATGAAACCTGGGTCTTCCGGGAAAAGGATAGATGCTACGTGTTTAAAACTTATTTCCCTTAGGCCTTTCCCAGGTTCTTTTAGGTGTTCTATACACAAGGCCCAATGCAAAATTTTCCTACAATAAATAAAACCATAGGGTCATAGCAAATGGTGTTCCAGTTTCCATTGCTATGTAAAAAACATTTAGTGGCATAAAACAGCCATTTGATCCTGCTCACAGATTCTGTGGGTCAGGAATTCAGACAGGACACAGCGGGATCAGCTTGTCTCTGCCCCACAATATCCAGAGCCTTAGGTGGGAAGACTACAGGTCAAGATCAATGGTCTCGGTCATCCAAGGGCTTGTTTATTCATAACCAAAGGCTTTTTACTCACCTGGGCTGGAATTACTCAAAGACAGGGAGTACTGACCAGAATCTTCCCACCTGGGGTGTCCGTGTGCCTGGGCTTCCTCACGGCATGGTGGCCTCAGAGTATCAGACTGTGTATGTGGTGGCTCAGGATTCTGAGTGCAAGTGTTCTCACTAGCAAGTTGGAAGCAGCATTGCCTTTTGTGACCCAGCCTCACAAGTCACACAGTGTCACTTCCCTCATACTCCCTGTTAGAGCAGTCACAACCCCCCAAGATTCAAGGGGACGGAGACAGAGAGTCCATCTCTCAATGGGAAGAGTGTCAAGGTCATATTGCAGAAGGGTATGTGATACGTAGGATGGGGATATTGTTGTGGCCATCTTTGGAAAATACAATTTGCCACCAACGAGGTGGGGCATGAACTGAACAGGATAGTGTTTATCCTGAGTGTCCAGAGGCTCAGCACTTTAGTCATCATAGATAAGTAACTCGAGTCCAATATGTACAAGAGATAGAAAATGTTGGACTTGGTTTCAAACAGAACCAGATTCTTCAAGGACACTGAGTAATTTCCTACATGCAGTGTCATTTATTTATGAACTGCTGACACTCTCTCTCTCTCTGAATAAAGTCAGAGGAGGAGCCAAAAGGGGTTTCTAGATAATGAGAGTTTTAATAAGAGTGCAACTTAAATAGATTCTTTGGCTGGTGCTATGACAGTATTTGAACAGGACCCCTGACTTTAATTAACCATTTTGCCAGGTGGGCCTCCTTTTTAATTAGTACAGAAGATCTAAACAGATTTTTTTCCATTTTATTATCCAAGAAAAAAATGTAGGATGGCTCCATGGCAATCTTTTGGAGTTGGAATTAATTTGATTAAGTGAAATTTTTGCCAAAATGGTCAGGCCGTCGCCTAAATATAGCCAATTGATCAAGAATAGAGTCCATTGAACAACATTTCACTAGAGAAACTGAATTACTATTTTTACAATAAATGTAGTGCAGATGAATCTTATCAGACTTTTATAGTACTCACTAATTGGAATATTTAAGTAAGAGGATACTTTAGTAATTCATGAGCTCTTTGGGAAGTAACCTGACAAAAGGAAGAAAGGGGACCCCGAGTCGTCTACATAATAAACTAATTTACAGATTCCAGTCCACATGCTTTGTTGGCTTATACACCACAGAATAAAGAAATTTGTCACAACAAATTCTGCCTTGGATACCATTAAATTTAAAATTGTGTGTTCATGACGAGAGCTGGGAACTTGATTTCTTGAACACCAAGTCTGATTAATCCTGTGTCTTCCATTTGGCATGAATTTCAGAGCCGTTTTCCAACCTTTGTCAAAATCATAAAGGAACTCAAAAGGATAATTGTATTCAGGAAAAAAGAAAAGTAAAAACCATATCAGAACCATTTACTTCATCAAAATCTTAAATTCAAGATCCAAATTTTCTAACAATTTACTTATATACTTAAAATAAAGGAAGAAACTAGACACACCCCACCAAATGGGAAAGTGTGTAAAATGATTATAATCACCCCAGAATCCCTCACTGGGTGGTAGGGCTGGGTGTGCCTTGTGTCGTCCTTTAGGGCAGCCACTTTCTGTGAGGAGGAGCAGAAAGAGTTCTGGACCTCACTGGGTTTTCCTGATCTGTCAGTGACTGTGAATAGGAATGACCCAAGCTATGAGGGTATTTGTGTCTGAGATACTCCTTTATAGGTGAATTGTCTTTCACTTCAGTTGCAAAATATTTTTATGCATTCTAAGTTCCCAGCATAGCCCCTCTGTTTATGCTGACATAGTGCCAAATCTCATTAAAATGGACAGGATTCCTTCCATAGTTAAGATCAGCCATAAGTACAACCTTGTCTCTGCTTTCTCTGTAGTGTGCCTGCTTTCTGGACTCTTTAAGCCCTCGTAGCTGTAAATCACTATATGTTTATGATTATGCTGAAAAAGACCCAAAGATTGTTATTCAGTCTTTAAAAAATAAGAGCAAAAAAAAGGCAACAGATCCATGACAAGAAGTCATTGAAAACACTGATGATGATACCACACCTGTGGAGCAGGTTGACATTGAGGGTCACGCAACGCTCAGACTCTCCGTCCTCTCAGCCAGCAACCTGCCAGGGCTCCTCGTGACCTTGTCAAGTCACTACCAGCTAAGTAACCGTGGCCCTTGATCTGGAGGTGCTCAGTCTTGGCCAAGTTCATGAAATCCAAAACAGCCTTCCTACACACAAAGAAGTCCTTGTAAGCTCAAGATGGGGCATTTAGTGAAATTCTTTACAAAGTCCAATTTTTGTTAACCACATGGGTGGATTTCAAGGTGTGCCCCTTTCATGCTTGGGTTCCCTTTTCTTAATCACTCATATGCTTAATCACAGCATAAAGAAACTGTGAAAAGGAGGAGGAGGCCTGGGGAAACCTGGCAGCTAAAACTATGCCAGAGCTGTTGCTGGTATCCTTCTCCCAGACACCCAGCCACCTTACTACCTCCTCAGACACTCATTCACCTGAGGTTTCCCCCTTTGTCACCAAATTGTCCCTTACTGCAAAGGGAACACCTACCCCTGGGGGCAAGAGACCAAGCCCAATGCTGCTGGCTTCAACTCAAATGGTCTTTCAAGTCGTGTACGTAATCTTAGAAATGCACGGATAGGCCAAATTCTTCACTGTCTATATATGTATTTTAATTCTGAAATAGTGTTTAATATTCTCGTGCCCCCACCCTGGGAGGTGGGATTCATTGCTTAGTGTGAGAAGTCAAGACTTGAGGAAACACACCTGAATGAACAAAACCATTGGGGCATCTAGCACCAGAGAAATACTGTGGCAAGACCAGAGGGTGAACAGATGATCAGCAAAGGAGACCAAGCCACCTGCAACCAGAATCTCTGGCCTGGCTTCTTCCCCACTCTCCTCCAGACAAGCCCCAGCCCTGCGACAAGCCTCAGAGACTCCTGCCTGTAACCTGCTTCCTTCCTTCCTTCCTTCCTTCCTTCCTTCCCAGTGCTCCTTCTGCTTTTTGTTTCATTTCTCTCTATTTGTTCATCAAAAGTCTAGTTCCTTGCCACAGCGCAGCCAGAGTATTAAAAAAAAGCTTTTCATCATTTTAGAAGTGATGGTCATTATGTAAAAATTAGAAACTGCAGATAGTCAAATGACCATAAGGATAAACAATAAAAATTACCTAGTCTCCCAAACACAGAAAATGACCATTAAAATTTCATTAAAATGTTGATACAAAAATAAAATGGAATGGCACTGTGCATTTTCGTAAACTATTTTTCTGTACTATAAGATATCCTGTGAACATATTTGCCTGTTATGAAATATATTTGAAGACTGATTTTTGTTGGATGCATTGCATTCCACTGTGGATGGATCATTGTTTTGTTAGATAATGTCTTACTGAGTTTGGGGGGTTTTTTAAACATTTTGCTACGGATTTCCTCTCTGTGTCCACCCATTTCTATGGATGATGAACCTCTTGCCTTTCCCTTGAAGCACCATCCCCCAACCCCTTTCCTAAACTGCATTTGTTCCTCCCCTACCCCCAAATATCCAACTTCTCATACATTCTTGGGGTGGCCCAGAATCGCCCCCGTGTGCCTCCTGTATCTCACCTTGTGCCTCTACAGTTGGCTGAGTCCTCCTCGGGGCTCTGCTGTGTGGTACCCAAACACCCACCAGTTGCCTCTATTTATTTAAAAGTTAAACTGGGTGTCCTTGTTTAGACAAAATCCCCAGGCGATGTCTAGGACTGAGTAAATGTTTGGGATTAGTGTAGTAGTCCAACTTGCCTTGGATTTCTAAATGCCACATTCAAGTTCAGAGTAAAAGCTTAAATCTATATGCACTCAGAAAAGATTTATTGAGTGTTACCGTGTGCTAAGTTCAGAGTCTAAGGGCAAAGGGAAGGTTCAGTCAGTACCAACAAAACCTATGTTTGTCCACAAGGCTTCCCACTGCGGGAGCCAGTGGGGGGCATGTCTCCAGTTGGTAGGTCGGTAGCCATCAGGGGCTGAAACAGAAAAAGTAGTCATGACATGGAATGATTTAATACAGCAGCATCTTTCCTTGTCATCTGGGTTCATATGGCAGTTTTAGCCAGTTTCTAAAGGGCGTAAAGCCACAAATCCATACTTTTAACAATTTATAAACTAAAAAGTCACTTGCAGAATGTGTGTACTTCTGATGGTCTTGAACTTTCTTTTTGGGAACAGACCTTTTGAAATAACTGGCCCTCCCCAAACCCTGCCATAAGGGATTTGCCTTTTACTTGCTTCTTTTAAGTACTCTTTAAAATAACTGAAATTCTTTGTCATCACTTTTGACTAGGGTTTTTTTTCTCAAAATAGTGCTGTGAAAACTAAGAAATTTAGCAGTTTTAAAACACCTCAGATAAGAGAATAAACCCAGTTCCACTTATTAGCTGTGTAAGGTATTGAGTAACAGAGGATTGGTTGTAACCTAGCAACTAATTTAGAGTCCCAGAACAATGCGATCACAGTTTAAAATATCCTGAGGAACATTTAGTCATTAAGTCCAAGTATGTGGTTTCTGACACACTGTTATCTTCTGTTGATTTCAGTCAATATCTATTACTGTTATTTGCAACAAGCGATAAGCTATAACATATCTGTTCTATTTGAAAAATAAATTGCTATGATAAAAGTTCCCAACGTCCAGAAATGTTTCTAATGTTGTTTTTCTGATCCACCTCCTCTCCCCCCGCCGCCAGGGTTTAGAAATAGTAACAGGTAGTGCGGAAAATGGGACCTACTTCCGAATTCACATTAACAAGTATAACATGGTGGAAACTATCACGTGCCTCTCTAAGGAGCCTTTTCCTGTCTCCAACTACATCCGCTTGTTTGGGCAGCACGAGCAACTCCTCAACAACCTATGTGCTCGGTATAATGACAATCTGATCCCAGATCTCTACAGGTAAGCTGGACACTACATTTGACTATGGGGAAACATAAATATCTATAATGTCCCACGAATGAGGGATGTGTGTTATGATGCACCAGAAAGAAAATCAGAAATCCCTGGGAGAAGCAGGAGTGGCAGAGATTTCATTCTAATATATAATAATAATAAAAAAAAAATCTGGAGAGCAAAGGGTCATAGGAGGAAGTGCATGGATTCCAGATGTGTGCACACCTGACTCTCGTGGCCTGGACCCCAGTTGTGCAACCAAGCCCACCACGATGGGCTCAGATGAGATGATATTCAAGTCCCTTTCCACATGGGGCTGCTAAAAGGAGTGGTCAGAAACTTAAGAGGTAGATTTGGGATCAGGATGTAGAAGAATCTGGTCCTGATGGGAACTCCACAGCCATAGGACAAGATGTTTGTGATTTCAGCCTTCTTCCTGACAGCATGTGCTCAAGCAGACTGGAGCCACCATTCGTCCAGGATATCGGTGAGGGAATTCCTACACTGACAGGTCAGTGAGGCTAGTGATCCAAATCTTTGTAGTTTCAAGCTCTACGACACTCTTCATCCTGTACCATTAGGAAGGCATAGAATTTTAGAATGATAAGCTACTTCCAAATGTAGCCTGCTGCTTAGCAAGGTTGGGAGAATTTCCGTCTATCCACAAAACAAGACAATGACAGAGCCAGATAGTACCAGATAACAGATGTAGAATGTAAATCATAGAATTTTAGTGTTCTCAATGCCCACAGGGGTGACTGCTGGGATCAGAATCAATCTTCTCCCTCTCAAAATTTTTTCAATTGTAGAATACATCATACAAACAAAAAAGTATGTGAAACATGTATGTACACTTAGAGGAAAATAATACTGGAAATCTATGTGCCTACCACCTACGATAAGAAGTAATTCCTTACCTCAGGAATTATTGGAATTACTGGAAGCCCCTCTCTGATCACACTCACCTCTGTCTCCTTGGAGGTAGCCACTATCCTGAATTTGAGTTAGGCGTTCTGTTTCCTGTAAAGCAAGGATCAGCAAACTTTTTCTATAAAGGGCAGACATGATCGCTGTTGCAAATACTTAACTCTGCACTTGCAGAGTTAAGTAAAGCAGCCATAGACAATACATAAACTAATGAACACAGTTCTGTACCAACAAAGCTTCATTTACGAAAACAGGCGTCTTTCAGAAGGGCCTTGGACTTTTTAATCTGAGGGCCAAAATAGGAACCTGGCTAGATTTGGTCTGAGAGTACTAGTTTCCCAAACTTTGTTTTAAAGATGTGCACATATACATGTACTATTTCCTAAATAATATTTAATTTATTCTGCCTACTTTTGAATCAAATCTGTGGCTTACTAAAGAAAGTCACCATTCTGTATAGCACTATGTTTGTGAGAACCATCCCTGTTGATATATGTAGCTATAGTTCATTTGTTCTCCCTGCCATATAGAAGTATTGCGTCACGTGACTGTGTCACGGTTCATGGATTTTCTTGTTGGTCGATGTTTAAATTGTTTCTAGTTTGGTGCCATTATAAACAATATCGTGAATGTCGTGAACATACCTCCCATGCAGGATTTCTCTACAATACCCTAGCCCTAAAACTGCTTGCTCACAGGATATGCAAGTCTTCCACTGAGGCTTATCTTTTTACTTTCTTTATGGTGTCAACAACTACTCTTAATTTAATTTAATCTGTCTACTTCAAGGTTGTCTTGGATATTTTTGGCCTTTTGCTCTTCCAATAATTTTATTATAATCAACTTGTCAAGCTCTTTGAAAAGCCCCACTGGATTTGATAGGAAATGCATTAAATCTTAGATCAATTAGGCAAGAATTGACATCTTTGATATTGACTCTAGTATCATAACACAGTAGAGGTCTTGATTTATTTAGGTATTCTTTAATGTCTTTCAGTAAAGGTTTATCATTTTCCCCATAAATAGCTTGCACAATTTTTGTTTGATATGATCCCAAGGTGCTTTATGTTTTAATTGCGACTATAAGTATTGTTTTCTTATTGATTGTTGCTGATATATAGAAATATACTAATTTTTTCTATGGTTCTGTGTCCTGCAAATTTCCTAAACTACCTCATTCATTCAAATAATTTGCTTGTAGATTCTTCTAGATTTCCACATAGAAAAATTTTATTATCTGCAAATAATGACAGCTTTGTTTCTTCTTTTCCAACCTTTATAATTTTTATTTTTCTTGTCTTACTGCATTGACAAAGCTTTGCAGTAAAAAATATCATGGGAATCATGAGGAATGGTACCCTTGCCCCTTTCTAATCTCAGAGGGAATGTGTTCAATATAAGTGTGTGATATTTGCTGTATATGTTTTTGTAGATGCCTTTTATCAGATTAAGAAAGTTCCCTTTGATTACTGGCTTGCTGGGCATTTTTATCATGAATGGATTTTTACTTTTTCCCCAGAAAGAGTACTTAATTCCTAAAATCTTTTATGTATAAGAATATCTTCCTAATGCTTTCAAATATAAGCTACATTTTAATAATCAAATCCTTTAATCGTGGACTTTCCTTCCTCAAATCTTTGTATACTTGTTGACTCCAATATTTATCTTAAATAAAGAAAAATGAAGCTGTACAGTGGCTCACGCATGTAATCCTAGCACTCTGGGAGGCTGAGGTGGGAGAATTGCTTGAACTCTGCAGTTCGAGACCAGCCAGAGCAAGAGCGAGACCTTGTCTCTACAAAAAATAGAAAAATTAGCTGGGCGTCGTGGCATGTACCTGCAATCCCAGCTACTTGGGAGGCTGAGGCGGGAGGATCACTTGAGCCCAGGAGTTTAAGGATGCAGGAGCTATGATGATGCCACTGCACTGTAGCCCAGGGGACAGAGCAAGACCCTGTCATAAAGAAAATAATACTCATAACAAAGAAAAATATAAATATTTAGAAAATGAATTCATTTGCTCCTCACCTTGTTCATAGGATTTTATTGTTGCTGTCAACTTTGCCCAAAATATTTGACTTAGAGGGCAATCAGTTGTTTGTTAAAGAAAAATTTTACTTGGTGAGGAATGATATGCTAAGAACCTTCTATGAAAAAAAAAAAATGTTTTCACATTTGACCAAATTCAAAGCCCTGCCTGGTCTGTTTCTCCTTTGAAACGGACAGACTTGGTGAGTTGAGATTAGTGGGGGACAGCTGTTAACTGATGATAGTGATCATTTTAAAGTTAATTTGATTTGTTAAGAGTGAATGTTTGGGATGGCAAGATAAGACAGGACGACACTGGGTGTCGGGAGCTGCCGACTGACATCTGTCAGAAAGAATTGGGGCAGGAAGATGGTCCCTTCAGTGTCCTTTTTAAGTGAGGTCCCGAGAGCACTGCCCTGCCTTGTCGGTCACTCCCACACGTGTGTCAGTGTGCACACGCAGCTGCGGCCACATTCTTCCCAAGTGCCACAAAACACTGCCAGGTCCCAGTGCTAACTCTTGGCCCAGCAGTGCCGCCCTGTCTGTTGTCAGACTGGCTGGCAAGGCTCTTTCCAAGCAGGGTGAATGGCTTAGCTGATTTTGGCCACGATATGATTACCGATTGTTTTCCTGACCTTGGCAGCACCGGCAAGATCTCTTGTTCAAACCCGGGCGCGTTTCCTTTGCGCACTGCCATCCACCGCGGCTGAGGCAGTGCCAGATGCAGGGAGGGCTGGGCGTTATCCAGCTGCTCCGTTGTTCCGCAAGTCAGGCCTGATTCCAGGATCAGTTCCTCTGCACATTCAGAGAAGCCTTCTCGATCCTTCCTCTCCACGTCCCTGGATCTAGTCTCACTCCGTCAGGGGCCAGAACAGTGCAGGCCAGGGCCGTGCCGACAGGACCGGTGGCAGCCACGAACGTCAGGTGGTGCCGTGGCAGTCAAGGCCTCCCGAGCAGACCCTGCTGCCTGCGAGTGGCTCGCTTGGAGCCATATGGGGACACGAGGTGGCGGTCGAGCAGCCAGACACAGTGACACGCAGGCGGGCAGCTGTCACAGAGCCACAGTGCAGCTAAGGGTCTGCAGCCGGGGCTGGCTTGGATCCCACCTATATTTTGTTCTTTGTTTTTGACCTCAGAGCAGCAGTACAAACAGTCAGCGCTGAAGAGGGAGAGAACTAATTCGCCATTAGTGATTCTGTATTTGTGTGTGTGTGAGTGAGAGAGAGATGAATTGATCAATCGATTGATTTATCACTTTGGAAAAAGAATACAGCCAATTTTATATCATTCGTTTCCTTCTGAACCAACCAGCATTTAAAGTCACGCAAATATGTTACTAGAATTTTCCCTTTCCCAACTTCCCCTTAAGAGCATCTGTGTCTCACCACGCACGCTCACACACATGCACACACTGCAGTCCCCCTGCCCGCAAAGTCCTCCTGCCCTGGCCCTGCTGACACCACTCCTCCCTTCGGGAACTTGGCGGAAGGAACTTGGCTGAGGGTGCTGGAGACGTCAGGACACGGCAGCTGTGGGTGGAGAGGCGAAGGGAGGCTGAGGCAGCCTCCTGAGATGCTGCCTGCCAGGGACCTGCCAGGGACCTTAACGGGGCCTGGCCCAGGTCTTCTCTGCTTTCTTAACTCCAGCACATCTTCTTTTACCTCCACTTACCAATGACTCTGCAAAAGAAAATCTTCACACTGAATCTGTCCCCTCCCTTTGCCTTAATTAATAGTCTGTACATCGTTTATTCTCACGGCATGAATAGGTCTTGCCCTAGCTTCTTTGTATGAGCCCATCAGATACTCAGAAACCTTGATTAAATCACCTCTTTTCACATCTTGCCGTGTTCAGCTCTCAAAGACTGCCCTGAGACGCCCTGCATCCTCCTCCATACTTTCCCGAACACTCCAGTGGCCTATTCTTAGTGGGTAAGTGCTGTCGCGCACAATAATCTAAATGGGAGCTGAGCAGGCCCTTTAAAAGGCTACCGTTACCTTTTTCAACGCTGAGGCTGAGGCACCAGCAGTTATTCCCTTAGGAAAGCCACC